GCCCGCGTGAAATAGCCGCTGTGGCTGAATATTGCTACTTTCGCATGCCCACTGTGAGAAAGGGTCATGTCAATTACGCATGCAAAGTATGCGCATAGGGTCACAAAGGACAGCCATGGGCTGTGCAAAGACCATGGAGAGGGACGTAGTTCGAAACCAACTTATTTACGATAAGAAGAAAGACTACCTCAACGAACGTAACCGCCTGCCTAGGACGAAAGATTTAAGGGGCGATTCATATTTTTTGAAGGCCATGACGGGATTATCTGCACATCGAAAAACTCTCTATTAGACATGTGGCTCCGCGATATGGTATACAATGGCGATTACTGTCGCCTGAACTCAAAGTTCTCTAAAAGTTGGGACTGACGGGTTATTCTCGCCTGAGGAAACCCCAACTGCTCACCTTGCTCGATATGAAATATACCAAAGCCCCCTACCGCAGCGGGAGACCTCAAACTCCTCGCATAAAGAACGGATTGAAGAAGTTATTCCCGCGATGAGAAGAGCCGAAATTGATCACCTTGCTGGAAGACACCAGGCCAGTAGGGGTTGAGATTTGTGCAGACTCCGAGCACGCCGTGGTAAGTATCTCCTCGGGTTGGATAATAGCCGGTTGATTCCAATATCGATACCGGTACAGTCAAATCCCCCACGCTAGTAAACTCCGCCGAAGAACTAGGCTGACTTGAAAAGCATCAAGTACCAACTAACGATGAAAAATGGAGCTCCAAAAACAGAATAATGGACGGCAGTACTGAGTACGCTGCACCCTATTTCAGAGGTAAACAGGAAGCCCTAACCCAACCAGAATTGATTGAATCCCCATCGACGCCAGCGTCGCTGCAGAAAATACAAGAGTCGCTGGAGATATACCCATATGGGCTCTATGGATGGGTGGTAGACAAAATCAACACCATTTATCTCATTATAGCGGAACTACATGCGGCCAAAGGTGGGCATTAATACACGGGTGCCCAAGCATTTCAAGGCCAAAAGGCCCTCGCTAACCCCAAAACCCAAAGCTTAATGATGTTAATCGATTACTGTGCGGTGGTGGCGTCATAGCCACGCATGAACCAACCGGCAATCGGGCAGGCGTTCCAGCTATCCATCGATCGAAGAATCGGTTCCGACTTCACACGGTGTAGAACGCTTTAACACCCATCTCCTACTGGGCACAATTCGAAAGCAAAACAAGGTGGCCATCAATGTGTTCGGTCATGAAGCTACGACAAAACCATCGTTATAGGATAAGCCCTGTGGGTGATAAAACTGTCGCGAGAACCAATATATTCCTCATCTAAAAACGCTGACCAGTACCACTCACCGCGGCGATAAAAATCTGAATTAGGCTGTTGCACGATCAATCGATGCACGAGAAGAAACACTTCTGCTAACGATGTCTGCGGTTTTACGCGAGTCCGATCTGCTGCAAGCGCATCAGGGTATTGCCTAGGTGTAGGAGAGACGGCGCTTATCCCAGGTTCGATATGCCTAAGGAAGGCGACAACATCTTGAAATTCACCAACCACAAACACCAGATGCCTGTGCCTTACATGATCTACGCAGGACTTCGGCCCCCTCATCAAACGGTCGACCACGGCGCGCCCAACACTGAGCAAAGTTTTACGTGGCAAGACCCAAGAACACCAAGCTTGCGGGTTCGGTGCGGGTCGATCGATGCGATGGACAAACGAATGCTCCAGTCATCTACCGGTCCTGGCGCGGCAAGCCATTCCTGATGTGTTTGCAGCAGGAAGAGAAAATCATCAGGAAAAGGCTGTACAATGCTGCCCCATGCGCATGACTCCGAAGGACCAAGTAAAGCTCACAAGCGTGTTGAGAATTGCCACATATGTCAGGGGCTGCTGAATGGGGATGTTGTGAGAGATCACTGCCACATCACCGGCCGGTACCGGTGCCGCCCATAACGCGTTGCAATCTTCCAGCTTAGAATCAACCTCCTAAAACAATCAACATCCCGGGTCTTCCACAATCTGAGGAAGATGCGATGCCCACCTGATCATGCAGGCCATCTCGGAAGGTGGGCGGTGATATCAAGTGCATCCCCAACAACATGGAAAAATACATCTGCGCTCTCGCTCAACGGTCTGAGATTCATTGACAGCGCCAGTTCCTCCTGTCATCGCCTTCGATAGTTTGGTCAAAGCCAATGACACCTTCCCCATCACTGATCGGCACACCAACGCCAGACTTCGGCCCTGCTGATGAGGAAGGGTGTGTACCCATACGAGTACATGGATGATTGGTCTAAGTTCGATGAGACCGATTACCTCCCATCGAATCGGTTTTACAGCAACCTGACCGAATCCCATATCTCCCAGGACGATTCACGCCACGCAGCGCCAGAACGATGTGGGGAGAAACTGGGATGTAAGAATCTGGGTGACTACCACGACCTGTACTTGAGAAGCGGACGTGCTCCTGCTAGCCGATGTGTTCGAGACGCTTAGGAGGGCGGTTTGAAACAGTATCAACTCGACCCTGCATGGTACTACACCAGCCCCGGTCTATCGGGATCGCGCTGCTGAAGAAACCGGAGTTAAGCTGGAATTGCTCACGGATTACTTTACATGCACCTGTTCATCGAAAAAGGATTGGCGAGGTGGGATTTCCATGGCGCCAAACGGGTAATGCTAAGAGCCAACAATAAGTACGTGGAAGGCTCTTACTTTAGCAAAGCCCACCAATCATCTCCTCTACCTCGGCGCAACAACCTGTACACGGTTGGGCTATGAGTCAATCTCTGCCTACTGGTGGGTTTGAGTGGTTGAATGATGAGATCGATATCAACGAACATCGCGCCAGATTCGGGGAAGGGTTACATCCTCGAAGTGGATCTGGAGTATCCCCAGGCATTACACGCTGCTCACAACAGCTACCCGCTGGCCCCCGACTGACTGACTGAGTTTAGTTTTACGCCGCTTTTAGCAATATTCCAGCAATATCACGGCGGGGGACACCAGAAATGGGCTTAACACATTGTGCCCATGTGGGAATCGAACCCGGTCTTCGGGACGCGGAATAACGCTTTAACCACTAGGCTACCCCAATCCGCCCTTGCTGGCCTCGAACGGTTTGATGGTCTGCCGAGACTGGATGTCCGACTATCAGCTGGACTTGTTGAGTGAGACACACCCTGGCTCCGGGTGGAAAACTTCGTCCGAACTTGATGAACAAGACCAAATATCGTCGCAGCACTATCGCAACCTGCAGCTGTACCTATCGTTGGGTATGAAACTGACCAAAATTCATAGGGTGCTGAAGTTTGACCAAAGTCCTTGGATGGAGCCCTACATCAGAATGAACACAGGACCTGCAAAGCTGGCCACCAGTGACCGAGAAGAACTTGTATAAGCTCATGAACAACTTCGGTGTTTGGTAAGACGATGGAGAACCTGAGAAAAAGCGGGTGACGGTCAAACTTCAGGCGATGCGCATCTCACAGGAGGAAAAGCTCAGGAAGCTGATCGCTAGCCCGCCTTCAACAGAAGCAAGCTATTTGATAACGACTTGGCGGGCGCTGCACATGAACAAAAAGTCACATCAAGCTCAACCGACCCGTCTATCATTAGGGATGAGCATTCTCGACTTCGTCCAAACATCTCATGTATGATTTCTACTACAACCAGCTCAAGAAGCAATACGGTGATCGATGTGGGCTGCTGTACACGGACACAGATTCCTTGTTGTTAGATATACACCGAGGATGTGTATGAGGACATGGCAAAAACACATACACCTGTAACGACACCAGCGATTACCCCAAGGACCATGCCCTACACAACACACTATCAACAAAAAGGTCCTTGGCAAGATGAAGGACGAATCTTGCTGGCACACCCATCGCCGAATCACGCCGGTTTGAGGCCTAAGATGTACTCCATCTTGAAAGCTGACAAGGGTGAGATCCGAAGGCAAAAGGAGTCAAGAAATACGTGGTGAAACAACAAATCAAGCACGTCCTCTTCAAACAAGCTCTGTTCAAGAATAAGACGTTCAAACACCGAATGAACGCGTTGAGAAGCGACAAACACAACATCTACGGCATCACCCACCCTCAACAAGGCGTCGCTGTCGCCCATGGACACCAAACGATGGATCGCCTCCGACGGCGTCACGACTTACGCGTACGGGCACACGCTCATAAACCACTGAGTGCATCGAATGTCTCTGCTCGAAGCGGAATTGGTATATAATGACACTCTTAGTCGGCCTGTCACAGAATCCCTTGGGGAACTGGTGGCTGCTTAGCATTTGGCGCCGTCCTCGTTCCCGCCTGGGGTTGCCGAAACTCTACAGATGTTAAGGCTCCTATAGGGGTCTGGGATGTGCATCGAATGGTGTCTCTGCTCGAAATTGTTAATTTATACTGGGGGCTGGAAGCGGAATAGATATATAATGACGCTCTTAATCGGCCTGTCACAGAACCCCCATTCCCTATACTACTCCCACAGGTCTACTGATAATATATATGATGTGTTGCCCAAAGGTCTACTGATAAAGTCTGCTGTTAATATATATGATGTGTACAGGATGTGTTGTCCATTGGTTTGTAAAAAATATAAGATTGAATCTGTTGACCAAAGGTATGTAAAAATAACAGATAGGATGTGTTGCCCAATGGGCTGTGATTATAGCAGATAGGATGTGTTACCCAACATTCTGATGATTATGATATACATATCTTGCCCAAGAGTCTGCTGAATATAAATTAAACCATGTATATATGTAAGTTGCCCGATAGTTAACACAATACATCCTATTCATCATAAACACAGACCTTTATACAACACATCCTAGTTGTATACAATGGAATTTAGTAGCGAAAGCTTGATTATTTTACTAATGACCTGCCAATAATATGATGAAAAGCGGAGGTGCTAAACACATTCTTGACTTTGTATCATGATATGATGTTATGGGTGTTCACTTATCTTGATATCTAGAGAGAAACTACTAAACACTGTTGGTACCTTTTGACTTCCAGTGCATCTGCTGATGAACAGTATATCCACCTTTACATTTTAGTACCTTCTCACAGATACTACATCAGAATCCTGAAAAGGTAAAGGAAGAAAATGTATCTGCTGACATGGAATACAGGTGTCTTCAGTTCTCATTTGCTGAATTTACTGTGTATGAAGGACACAAAAACATTAATGCAAATGTATTGACAATTACATGAATCATTTGATAACAACCCATTTAAACACCTGATACAATTATGTAAAACAAATATATTTGAGAACCCACCCATCCCCACCCCCAGCCACCCCTGTGATATGAACAGAATGGTGTCAGAACTTTCATACACCTGATTATCTGATGGAAGATTGAATTATTGACTACAGAAAACAACAAAATGTAGGCAATATGTTAATTTGTATACTCTGTATTGAGAAATGCCAATATTTTCTCTTCATGGGTCTGGTCTGAATTGTGTGCACTAGGAAACACAACACGCATCAGCTCTCTATGAAACTGGTAAGATATGAGTAGATAGTAACCTAAAAGTGAAAATGATATCTCAATAAAAAACATGATTATTGCAGGGATTATTTTTTGAATTGTAAATGTTTGGACATCATTCAAGTGCAAAAGTCAATAGAAAAGCTTAAAAATGTTGAAAATTACCCTATTGATATATGAAAAGAGCAAATTCTGCCATTTTAAAAAAAAGCTACATTTACTGTAAAGATCATGTATTGAGATAATACCTAAAACATGTATTGCTGCACACGGTACTGATCGGCACACAACCATTCAAGATAACTGTACTAATATTGAGAAGGATTAAACAATTTGCAAAGATTCATGAGGCATTACTTCTCATGGGATATTGCAAGTTTGTGATGCTGAATTCTAAAGGTAGGCCAGAACATTGTTAAGGTTAGGGACGCCTAAATACATCGATGCGTTGATACTTTTTCTAAGATGGTACAATTATCAATACATTCAAAACTGTATCGATATTTAGTTTTGAAAGTATCTGTTTAAATATGTTGTAATATGTATCGTTTACATATCATGTTTTTTTGATGTTATGAGAGTTATAAATGATTATTTTTCATGCACATAGATGGGAAATTAGAACTTTTTCATCTCTGAGGATAAATAATGTTGATCTTTTCATGGACAATTATAAAATATGAAATATTAATGTTCAAAATGTAAATAAATTCATGCAATAATGCAGCGAAAATAGGTATCATGATACATATCAAATCATGTCTTGAGTTTACGTATCGATTCATAAAAATTATGTATCGCGACATCCCTAGTTAAGGTAGAAATCACAATTTCTACTAACGTGAAGGTATTGATCTCTGGATCACATAACCTACCCCTTCCTCCCTTTGGAATGCCTCAGAGACTCCTCCTCTGATTCTGCAATTTGAAGATCACATTTCTCCTCTGCCAAGCTCAACGTCTCTTGATCCCATTCATAATTGTCTGCATTATGTAACATCAAAATGTTGACAATATTATTCTCGAAATGATTATGAACTTAAATTCAAAATTGAGAATAAGAAATTTATAATTTTTCTTCCGAACTGATAAAGTATTTAAAATACTACTAGATTTAGTTATCATCCTAACAACATACATAAATTATGAATTTACAATGTTTCATATTCAGAAACTTTCGTAAAATAATATTAACTTACCAGGCATAAACTGGATTGGATATGATTTCCACATCTAACAGGACCATCCGAGACTAGCACTTAGTCTCTGAATATATTTAATTTTGATACAAACAAATAATTCATTTTAAACTGAAAAGGAGCTTCAGTGACATGGGAGATTCCTGAACCCAAATAAAACTAGACTTGCTTCAATTAGGGCTTCAGCATTGCAGAAAGGCATAGATGGAAGTAAAAATAATGCAGTTCAGGAACTATGAGACAGGCTAGACCTTTCCAGACTTTTTACAGTCTTTGTCAACTTTGAACTTGATTTGAAGGGTGACCAAAGGAAAAGACTTGCACCATCAAGTCAATTTGAATGGAATTTAAGAATACCCATAATATCATAAATAGTATGCATGATTGTGATGAAACATAGTTTCAATTTACTCACACAATATACAATGTTATGTCTTTATTCATGGGTTGCTTCTAAGTCATGTTCAGGATGCAGTTTTGTTAGTCATCCATGCATAAAATGTCAAAACTCACCACTAATACAAAATATGTTGATTTCTTTCAGATTTCTTTTTGATTTTTGTTTAAAGTTACTATTCCTAATAACGATCATCAATTCTATGATTTATATCAATACTGTCTGCCCAGTGCTGTTCAGAGATGTCGATATTAGTCGACAGTGCAAACTATCAGCCGGTGGTGGGCCAATGATGAATGATGCACACTACCTGAATAGATGCATCAAAGCAGCATTTCTGAAACTGTTGTTATGGTTTGTAAAAGTAACTTACAACAGGAAGAGGTTTTAATTCTTACTGTTTGTATTGAAGAAAATGTTCACCTCAATTTTTTTAAAAAGAAAAAGTTATTTTAAGAAACCCCCGCTTTGAACAAAATTACCCTTTTATGCAATTTGACCGCTAAGGGAACTTAAAAAACCATAACGACTAATAACATATCCCTGCATAGAAACAGTTGGTCTATTGACCTATCAATAAGTGAGATTCATCCTTGATTTTTCAGTTAATCTTATTCTGTCCACTGGTGTTTACCCTCTTTCCTATGTTACACAATGTACAGGATTTAGACTTTGAAATGAGGAAATGTTCCTGCATTAAATATACAAAGATATATCTGCAATGGAATTACGAAAGCTCAAAAAGGGAATTCTGACTGCATACATGCTCAATATTAAATTAACAGATTCAAGTGCATCAGTACATGTATTTGTTTGTCAAATTGAAGTGGAAAATCTCAAGCATTTGAAACTATATCAAGTTTGGACCAAGTGCAGAAAAATACAACTTAACCAACATTTATGGTTGTCAGTTGAGTTACCTGTGAGTAGGAGGATGTATTGGTCATAAATATGCTGGCTGAGTGGCAGTGGCATGTGGACAGACAAGGTTATAGTCCTGGGCCAAATGCAAGAAAGGTTTTTATCTTTCAGGATCTCTCAGCAGCAGTAAAAGTGTTATCCAGTAATTAGAAATTCTTGACACAATCAGCCACAAAATGTATCAGGTTACTAAAAACAAACAAGGTTTGACCCAGACAGCCATTACTTGTAGGTAATAAGGTTGTAGGCTACAATCTAAGTACCCAGATTAAGGTAATTAGTATTATTAGCATGAAAATGGTGCAAAATATACATTTCATCACTTAACACTGATATTTTTACTCTGATAGACCAGTGGAGGAGATATACTGCACATAAACACCCAAAGGGGCAGGGTTCAAAGCTGGAGTACAAAAAGCTATATTTGAAAGTTAGAAACTCTTGATAAAATAATGTAACTGAAACATTATGGTCAAGTGAGCAGATGCATATTTCCTTTGCATGGAACATTTAGGAAATGTGTAGCTGATATAAAAATGTGTAGTTCAGCTATCAGAGGAAACAGCAAAGAGCGGCAATGGAGATTGACATCATGAAACTATAACTACAAATTAAGTCTTCCTCAACACTGCAGTATCAGCTCATTATTTGAGCAAACCCATGCCAATGAGTATTAACCCCATGGTCTAATAGAGGGTGACAAGCACTGATGCAGTCAAAATATGCAGTGTGGGTGATAAAATGGGTTGTAATGTGTTATGCTATCTCTATATTTGGCCTTTAAGTAATTTTACTGAATTCAAGTCTTACAGGTTTGGTTAGTTCCTGAAATTAGAAATGGTTTGTGGACTGTTTGGGGGGTTTTATTTATCAATTAGTTGGTAGATATATATATTTAATATAAGAAAAAAAAATATCGGTGCGAAAAGATACCCTGAATATCAGGCGTCAGTGTGATGTCATGCAAATATTGTACTACAGTACAAAACTCTTCCGCAACCTCTTTATCAAACCGGTTTCGGTTTGAAACCAAAATATTCACAAAAATACGCTATTTTGTCAATTTAATGCATGTAAGACGTGGGTAATAAATAAAATACCACACTCGGTCTCATTACATACGAATTATACGTAACTCGTGACCTTCCTATGTTATCTGACCTCGCTTTCGCTCGGTCAGATACCATAAGAAGGACACTCGTTTCGTATAATTCGTATGTAATGAGACCTCGTGTAGTATTCTCTATGTCTCACAGTCGCTGAACCACAATAGTATTTTCCCTACTGCCTAACCCTTTCTGCAATGCTAAAGCCCTAAATGAAACAAGTCTACTTTTCCTCAGGTTCTGGTTTCCCTGGGGCTCCTTTTCAATTTCTAATGGGTTTGTTTGTTACTATCATTTTTTTTTTTTATATTCAGAGTCTAAGCGATAGTTTAGGTGTGGATCAAGTGGCATCATGATACGAGACCTCACAACCGCGATCAAGTTACCAGCAAACAATTTCTTCCAGTTGCGAAATCTTGAAATATATTGTGTCATGGGACAGGCATCGCCTTTGATACAATTGTATATGTTGCTGTTTTCAACAAAATACTCTGATTACGATACAAACCATGAATTTTCCATAGCCAAGTCACCTCGTGTAGTGCGCGAAAACTGTAGCAAACGGGATCCGATTTGACACAAAACGTGAACGGGCCTTCGTGTGAAACATGAATTCAATATATTTAGATTATTACAGTGTGACTTTGATTAAAGTATCAAATGTGTTAGTATTTAAACGTGTTCTTGGTGGCATATTATTCTTGTCTGTCAGCTCCCAGAATATCTACAGACATTATTGAATTATTAGCTCTGGCTCATTTCGACGTTGCCGCATTTTAACTTTCACCATTTTGACTGACTGACTGAGTTTATTTTTACGCCGCTTTTAGCAATATTCCAGCAATATCACGGCGGGGGACACCAGAAATGGGCTTAACACATTGTGCCCATGTGGGGAATCGAACCCGGGTCTTCGGCGTGACGAGCCAACGCTTTAACCACTAGGCTACCCCACCGCCCCTCACCATTTTGACGCACAGCCATATCGCCGAAAGTTAGTGAGAGCGAAACAGTAATGTTATGGCGAACACTTATTTTTTATGTATATTTGAAAAAACAGTTCAAAACCTAATAGCATATATCTAGACAATAATTCCCCCATTGTTTATTACTGAACATATATCCAGGTGTTAGAGAATTTTGTAGAAAACCCCGTGTCGCCGAAAGGTCGCAGAAGTTATATATACATGATATTTTTGTTTTTTCAATAACAGCACTGAATTTTTATAAAAATACAAAAGAAGCACACCCAAAGGTCCTGAGACGACCCTCTATCCAACCATCCACTTTGTGACATGCAGATATTTGAGATGAAATATACATTCATGTACAACTCTTTAGGCCAACATACATTGAACGGTCCAGATGAATGAATTACTCATCTGAGTGATATTTTCTTCTCAGATGTAAGTCTCGTAAACAGTCCCACAATCAATAGACCGATCCAGTCCCGGCCGATAAGCCCCGCCCACTTCGTTTTTGACCTTGGGGGGACAACCACTGACAAATCACAATGGCGTCACCGCCGGCGAAACGTTACGTGATTGCGAACGTTGTTGATGAATTCTGCTTGTGATACTTTGGTATCCGTCTTTTGTGGATGTTATTTAAAGAGGCAAGTTATACGTATGTGATTTTTATTATATTATAGCTGGCAGATTGCAACTGGCGAGTGAAAATGAGTTACATGCCCGATGAAAAATCGTCTCGACTAGCTGCAGAGACTGTAGGAAGCGTAATTTCTTTCGAATCAATTAATCTATCTGGCAATTCACCTCCGTCACAGATATTAGAAGGGGAAGGGTAACTGAAATTTTGTTGTTTGAGTTTATAATTTTATAAAACTGTGAACACAACCACATGTTCATGTTGCAGATCGTTTTGGTATCTATAAATAGATTATCAACACTGCGCGTGGCGCCTTTACTTATCCGTTGGCGTTGTTCAAATTTAGTTCAATAATCTGAAAACATGGGTTTCTATCTTTTAATGAATTAAGAGAATGGTAAATAAAAGCAGAAAATATTTCCGGTGTACTACTTCATGCACTTTATTTGTCTGTATATAATTTATGTAAACAAATCAATCACATTTGGAAATCTGGAAAAGTAATTGGGCTTATAAACCGTATGTTTCCATGGATGTATCTAGATCTGGACATACCCAGAAGCAAATATTCAACAGCTGATCTGCAGCAATTCTCAGTCAAGTTTCTCTCTTCAAAATCTGTACACCATGATAAACTGACACTGAATATAAGGAAATCATTTTTTCAATCATTTCCATTTTACTTTTCTATATGTACTTTGTTGTTGAATCCTAATTTACATACAAACTTCCACAATGCTGGACTTCGTGAACTGCCAGCGTTTATGTACAGGTATGTCACAGTACCAGAACACAATAAAGAGTCAAGATACAGTCTGCACCTGTACACTAGCTGAGCCATCTTCCAGAAATAGGAAACATGTGATGCAAAATCTTGGAACAGAGGATCCACAGTTATCCGAACAATTAACTAGCATTGAAATAGAATGTTACACAAAATACAAATGTAGATCTATTGTTTTTTTCATCAGAGACGTTTAACTGCTAACTACTAGTGTAAATAAGGTGCAAAGAATATATCTTATGTTCAAAGC